GCTGGGGTAATGTGTTATTAGTGAGATGTGATCGAACAACACCTGAAGAGTCTGTACTGCAGCATGTGGCTTCTGCAAGGGACTTTTGTTTGTGGAGGGGTAGAGTTTTATTATAGCAGAGACGTTTCTTGGAATTGCACACTTCAGCTGTTTGTTTTTCATTCAGCTGAAACAAAATGACTATTGTGGAGGTGCTGGGTAAGGCTGAAGAAATGGCCTCTTCACCTTCGAAGGGATTTGTACCTGGTGTGGTCTGTGCAGGAGGGAAGCAATACTTCAAATAAACTCACATCTCTATAAGGTGATACTTGGTAATGGGGTTATCTTTATAGTGCTGCAGGCTGAAATGACATACTGCTGTGAACTTTTGGGTTAGGTCTGTCTCTGAAAATACAGGGTTGAAAAGACTCGATTAAGTTGCTGACATAAACTTGTTTTTCTCTCCAGCTGGATTGTTTTCCTCCACGCTCAGTATGTTACTGTGTGTCTGATTTGGTTTCAACTTAATACTTGAGGCAGCAGAAATGGAGGCTGAGATTTCAGCAATTTAATTGTACAATATCCTGGAATGGGTTGTTGCTGTACCAGGCTGAGGTCTGCAAAGCCAGAAACTGCCTCAGTGGGGAAGTGGCACTGTCCGTAACTCAGCCTGGGCTTACCCTGTGCTGACAGTGAGCTCATGTGTGTGGCATACAAGTACAACACTGGCTTTTGGGCTTTGGAGGACAATTTCTTTTCTGAGCACTCTAGATGGCTGACATTTGAATTAAAAGACGTTAACTAGCACAATCTTATGTGTCCACACCCACCACATGCACGGCTGCTCTTGCTGACACAAGGCTAAGTATTATGCCCATTGAATGTAGTTTGCTAGAGAACGCTGCTCTGAGTCTCCTATACCAACTTCTCCTTGCAGGAATGTGTTTGCAAGCCTTTGTGGAAGCTTTCTTCTGCCTGGCTCAGAAGAAGTACAAGTCCCTCCCTCTGCACGAGCAGGTGGCGTCGCTGATCGACTTCTGCGAGTGTCACTTGGCCGCGCTGGACGGGAAGCGCCTGGTGTGGGGCTGTGGGGCCGGGGAGCGCCGCGGCGCAGGGCTGTCCTGCCAGCCAGAGGGGCTTCACCTGCCAGCAGCTGCCCCAGCCCTCCTGACCCGCTCAGCCACGGCCACCAAACTCTCAGAGTACAGAAGTCATCGCTACTGACGGCGCAGAACTGAGAGTGAACCCCCAGGTATGTGTGTGACTGCTGGAGGACAGACATGGGGCTCTCCCATTCCTTCATGGGAGAGGCACAACTCTTTATTTCAGCTTTGTTTTATTTATGCTCTTCAAAGAGTCTACTGCAAGCTCTCGTTTCAAATAATGACCTTGGCAACGGCTATTTCTTTACCTCTCTGTGGGACCTGTGGTGCACTTCCCGTGACAAACTGTGCTTCCACCCCGAGTGCATGGAAGAGAAGGACCAAAACACAGTGGCATGATAACCAGCATCATGGGATTTGCTACACTGATGGAGAGGCACACTGGTGTGAAAGGAATTATGTTGCTTTGTGTGCACAGGACGTGTCACAGAAACCAAGGAAGAAGCTGCAGTCACAAATACAGACTTGAGAAAACTGAATCCTGGAATTGCATTTGTGGTCAGATTTCAGGTTTTGACCCACTTCTTTTAACTGAATCCTGGAATTGCATTTGTGGTCATATTTCAGGTTTTGACCCACTTCTTTGGCTTGGACTGTACATGTTGGAATTGATACAGATTTGGTCATTGTCTAGAACTTGTTTTTTAAAGTTGGTCTTGAAACACTGAAATCCTATTTTGGCTTCTACTTCTTTGTACATGTCTTTGCCATGACAAGTACTGTTAGTTTTTTAAGGAAAAAACTAAAGCTGTTTATTCTTTTGCTTCCACAAAGCTCACACTTATTCACAGAAAAAATTCACTTCCTTGAGTGAAATTTGGTGAATCAAGTGGTGGTTTTGTCTTCAGGGACTCAGCACTGCTTCTGCAGAAAGCTGTACAGTGTAAAGGCCTAAGAGGTCGTTTAAATTCCAGTGAAACTAATCCTGTCACTGATTCTAGGCTAAACTAGGTTTAGGTTCTAGGTTTGCTTATTTTTTGCCTTTTGCATGTTTATTACCCTATTGGGACCTGCAGGAACATCTAGGGCAGGTATTTTTGTGTGTCTTTGCACATACTCTTAATTTTTCCCTCAAATAACTGTCTCCAAAGTAGATTTGTATTGTTTAACAGGATTTTGTGTCAAAACTGCTGTGCTGTAGCTCTGGAGTTGTACCGAATGTACAAGAAATGAACCATGACTTCCATGATCACACTCTTGGGGGGGGTGGTGGGTAAGCAGAACATGAGACTGGCTGGAAGGACAGGAATGACTTGGAACTTCAGGGCTGTTCAGTGAAATTCGTTTTGGTCTCATATTCTATTGCAATAATGTATGGTACATCCCAGTTTGATTTCCTTCCTTTGTTTTATTCTTTGCTGTTAATGAATCTGCTCATGTTTTAGTGTTCTTCATACCATCAGATATGGCAAAGCTCTAAGCTGGCATTGAGCTTTGAGTTGGAGAACATTCCCTGAGCTCCATGTGGCTGGTGCACCAGTGAGGGAGAGTCCACCCGTTCCATGCCATGGACTAAATGCACACGCGGTATCGAGTGAGTTCCTACTTCAGGGAATGTTTAGAGTTTCTTTCCTGGTTTTATTTTTAGGCAGCATGTGTTTTTCCTAAGTGGCAATAGCAGCATGGCAATGCAATGCAGGAGAGAGGCTGAGCCCACATGAAACTAACCCCCAGCATGTGTTCATCTCAGATGTGGGCGACCCTTCTCCTCGTCTTTTGCTGTAACACCAATAAAAGCAGTAGATGATCTTTTTTAGTTCAACAACTAGACTGTTTGAAATTTTATGTACTGTACATAAGAGGACAATTGTAGACTAATGCCACTGCCCTCAGCCTTGTTTAAGTTTCATAAAGATTATTGCAGGATGAAGATAAAATGCCAAACTCCAAGGTCTGGCATCTGTCAGAACAAATGAAGCCGAAAGGGTCATTTTTTTTTCACACTTTCATTGTAATATATTTGAAGACATTCACAAGTTGAAAAATGGTTACTTCTCCTTTTGTGACATCTGACATTTGTCTTGCGATTGGCAGTGTGTTACTGGAAAATAGCTTACAGTTCCTCTCATCTTGTGATTGATGTCCTGTAAAGGCAGAGTTACAGAGGAGTCGGGTTTGAAATGCTGTGACTGCCAATGCCTTTCCTTCCACCTTTCAAGTAGTACAATCTGTGGCCTAAAATAGCCAAGTTTTGCTATTGTATAACTCACCCTGATATCACTGGAATAAATTAACTATTGTATATTGAACACTGGTAAGATCTCTCTGTGCTGGAGATCTTTATACTCTCTGGATCTAATGCAGGGTTTTATAGCCTGTGCATCCACAGGCTGATGCAGTACACCCTATTCATCTCCCACTTGAAATATGAAGGGTCCCTTGTAGAATAGTCAAAATATTCAATTATCTGCCTCTAGTAATCCTGTGTTCATGTATTTAGATAATTGGAAAATTGAATGCCGTATTATTCTCGGGGGGGGAGGGAAGGGATAAACCAGGAATGTACTTTAGAGACTTAATGGCAGTCACATTTCTCTTGCCTGCTGTCTAATTCAATTTCCCCTGAATATTATTTAGCATCCAATTTCCTACAGCCTTTAAGTTACCAGTCTGTGCCCATGCAAATGACCAGAGACATTTTATCCAGAACATGAATGCTAATGCACTGATAATCTGTTAATCCTGAGGTACCTCTCTAGGTGAAGAAACAATACATGCAAGGTGTCAGGCGTCGGGTTTTTAACAGCACTTTGCTATATATTCTTTGCAGAGAAAACCACAGCCCTCATTATTCCATTTATGACATATATGAGATGCATATTGCATGCCATGAGATCTCTCATTACCACTCTGGGCCTGGTGTTCTTCTCTGAGTACAAATCAGAACGAAGCAACATCTAAGGAAGATTTGAGGCAAGTGAGTCCAGAATTTCAACCCCACTTCCCTGAGGTTGTATCTAGCTGGAATGTGCCCAGACTCACTCAGGGACTGCTTGCTCCGTCTGAGTTCTGTTGTAGGATAAACCACCTAAAATCTTCCTGATCTGCCCTGGGCTCTTGACCCTCACTGTCCTCTGCCTAAGTGCCCAACATGCCCTGTCAGTGCCATTATTTTGGGAACATTGAATGGACACCAAGTGGATCACCTCCCTTGCCCCACTCTTGTAGCTCCTTTAAACCACAGCTGGAAAGGAAGAGGCTCAGCTAATTATACAATGAACGACCTGACCAAGTGAGAGACCCAGGTCCACCTGATCCAATTAGCCTCCTCGGCTGGAGCCCCACCCTGGGCTACCCAGGTGTCTTTGCCCTCAGGTCCCATTCGCCTTTGTTCCGTCAGGAGGTCACACTGTTTTTCTCTGGGATGGTGACAGAGTTTGGAAGCTCTCGTGGTGAGGAGGAATCTCGTCCTACTGCTGCCTTGCCTGGTGGTCGCTGAGTGTGGTAAGTGTCCCCGTGTGCTGGGTGCTCGGGTCGGATGAGGCTGGAGCCTCTGAGGGGCTTTTGGGGCTGACCAGGGCACAGCTCTTGCACTGCTGGATGTGGGATCTCCTGAGGGCTCTGCTGGGGCTGTAGGAAGCTAAGGGCTGGTCAGCCCACGGACGCAGTGGGCTCTGCCACCCCCACACTGCTCAGCCCACGCGGGACCCAGTGTGCTCCAGAGCATGCGATGAGTTCCCTTTGTTCTGCCTCCTGCCATGGGCAGGGACACCTTCCACTAGCCCAGGTTGCTCCAAGCCCTGTCCAGCCTGGCCTTGAACACTTCCAGGGATGGAGCAGCCACAGCTTTTCTGGGCAACCTGTGCCAGTGCCTCAGCACCTCACGGGGAAGAATTTCCTGTAACTCAGATGCAGCTTCCTCCACAGGCATCTGGCTGTGCCTCCCAGGGATCCCTCAAGGCTCCCTGCTGCCCACCTAAGCAAGAACAAACTGCTCCAAGCACAAGCTGGGCACTTGCTTTTCTGGAGTAATGAGTCTGCTCACAGAGCTGTCACCTCCTTTGGCCATGCTGACTGGCACTGCTGCTGCGATGCCTCTGCCTACGGGTGCATGTGATTCTGTAGCAGCACTCGAGTGTGTTTGGTAATTAGAAATCTGTCCAAAAAATGTGAGTGCTGTCACCACCTGTCTTCCTGTCTGTGTCTAGCAGTTCTGCTGCTCAATTACTGGTTTTGTTACCTGTCTCTGCTTTCAAACTTGTTTGTGTGGGAGAGCTATTTATTCCAATTTTCTTCTGGTGTGTATTTTGGGAGGAGGAAGGAGAGACTCTTGTCAGTTGGCATATCCATAGAGGCCTCAGCAGCAGGCTGTGAGTGTGCAGAAGATAGCTCAGCACTAGCCAGGCAGATTGAAAAGCACAGCCAAGACACTTAGCAATGGTTCACTGTGGTTTAAGAGAGCTTTAAGACAAGTTTGGGCTTGGTTTTAACAACAGAGAGCTGTGAATAGCTTCATTGTAAGGAAAACATTTCCTGTGGGAAATCTATTTTATGATAACAAAGTTTGGAGTTTTCAACCAAGGGCCCACAAATCTAAACACAGATGATCTGTTTTTCAGCATCTCTTAAGTCAAAATTTTAGCAAATTGAGCAAAAAGTGTGGTTTGACTCAATATTCACAAGACCAGCTGAGATGCTGAAATAGTGGGAAGCTGAAATCTGGGGGGAAAGTGACTGGGATTTTGTTAGATGTTCTAAACCTCCTTTCTTTTCCCTGAAGACATTTTGTTTAAACCTCCAAACAGATATCTCTCAGAGAGCTCAAGGCAAGTGCTGTGTTCCATGAGCAGCAGTGCCTGCCTGGACAGGACACTGGGCAGCAGGGACTGTCAGAGAATGTGGGCTCTCCACATGTGGTGGCTGTAGACCATCTCAGCAGCTGCTAGAGGATGGTTTCCTCTGCAGGCTCCGTGTGCTGGGATGCTTTTCCCCAGGGCAAGCACTCTGTGTAACTGTGCTGCCCCAGGACTTGTCCCACAGCTGCTGGGGGACACATAGTTTCAGGGGGTCACGTTTCAGCAACTCTTGTGCCATTCGGAAGGCAGTGGACAAAGCATCTCT